GCGACCGCACTACAATTCGGCGACCCGTCTGTTACACTGAGTGATTATTGCTACCATTGCACTGCTACCTGCAAGTCAACAGGCGACGCGCTGAAATATAATGCATGCCTTCTGACTGTGCCTCTCCCTATCTCCCTAGCGTGTTGTCTGCATGCAGCAGTATTCCTTTTCTTCACATGTAGGTGTTAGCATCCGGCGTGCACGCGCGCCGTGACATGTTTTGTATCATTTGTATGAACCCGCCAAATACATGGCTAGTGGTGTGAGTGCGCCTCGGTTGTCCTGAGTGTACACGTGTTTTTGGCGAGTTGGCTTTGCTAGTTCTAGCGGCCGAAGCTCTGGCCTGTTGGATTTTTCGTGTGGAGATTGCCGTGACAGGATGGTCACTTGGTTCTTCCACCAATTTTACTAATTTAAATGTATTCTAACTTCTTCTACACCTAAGTGCGTGTTCCAGTTGGCTGGTCTGTGCTTGACGGCGTGGGGAACCGGAGTAGGGGAATTATTTTACAGGACACTCCGTTTATAGTGATAAAAAAACTGGTTGCAGCATATTTCCCATGTTTCCGATGCTTTCGATTCTTCAACCTCATATGGACCAATGAAATTTTACAATAAATATTAAGATATAGTTCCTTCAGGCAGTCAATGTGAATTGATGGGGGCTCCTAATGGATGATGAAAAGTTTGTCGAGCTGGACAGCAAGCCAAATATGAGACCATACCGGACCTGTTTTGAAGGATAAGGAAATTAGGCAACTCCAGTCCGTACCAGCAATCAGATTTATAATTGTGGCGGGCTTGCCCATAGTGTTTTGAACTTTTCTGTAACTTGGCTTGACGAAAATTGATGTGTGACAGACTACAGGGGTTGATGTTTTTGTGTTCGCTTGTAAAGTATGTGTGCGTGTGTGTGTGCGTACCTGTTTGTGTATGCACGCACTCGCATAATGCATGTCTCGGTGTGTGTGTGTGTGTGTGTGTGTGTGTGTGTGTGTGTGCGTGTGTGTGTGTGTGTGTGTGTGTGTGTGTGCTTATGTCGGCTGCAGGTGAGGCCTACCGCTGCACCAAAAAGCCTGTCAAGTTCTGCTTCTGCCACTACAACAGTTAGGGTAAGTGAAGCAACATTATTGTCTCTTTCACACTAGGCAGAATTACGGGCCAATGCTTCGACACTGAATCAGATACGAAATCGGCCGACTGTGGCGGACAAGCTGTTCACACACACCTTTAACCTTGGACGTGCCCATTGCCGATGGCAATGATTGCGAACGGACTATCTGCTAGCTTTGCAGTACGGAGCGTGGCACTTGAGATCCCCGGGACGACGGCAGACCTTTCCACATGCGCAGCGGAAGCTACAGTCAGGATCAGGGGGAGCACGTGCGGGAGGACGACGATGAGCAATCTGTCTCCAGGCAGAGCTATCTTGGGCAGCAGCAAACCAACAGTCAGAAGGCATAGGGGGCTGATGGAGCGGAGGTCATCCACGATGATGTCTCGTTACCGCTTGCGTGGACCATGGCAAGGGCGCGTTGCAGGGAGCTCCCCAAACAAAACTCGCTGCACACACACACACACACACACACACACACACACACACACACACACACACCAGAGTGAGCTATTTCACTTGTAGACCTGACTGTGCACACACATACAAATTGTACACAGCCACACTAGAGTGTGGTAGACGCTTCGTTACCGACTCCGACACGAAATCGGCCGACAGTGCCGAACTACTACCTCCAACAAGGGAAACTTGGCACGTTTTTTTGGCCTCAAACTACTCGAAATAACTCCCACTTTACAATCGAAAATAATGATTGACTCAGCAAAATACAACTTTGTATCGCTCAGGAAGGATATTAGAGACATCAGTTAGTCTGAATCACTCTCCTCTGATTCAAAGATCGCAGCGTCTTGTGGACAAGGATTGTCATTGTAGTCAGACGAATGTGTGACTCGAGCGGATTGAGTTGCAGCAAGTACCTTGCCCTGGAAATCTCGATATCGCTCCTGTGTGCTGTGCTCAAGGGTAGTCATTTCTGCCGCCACTCTCTAGGATACCGTGGTAAGAACTGTGAAATACCTCCACACGCGCCTAGACTTGACCATTTTTAGCCCGGTATTCTCGCCAACAATCACATAGTATAAAAATTATAATTAAATACCCAAAATTGCCTGCAGCAATTCCTGGCGATTTTCTTTTGCAACCAGAGACGCATCGCTGTGGACGCTATTGAAAGACGCCAGGTGGTTAACATCGATGCCTGGACTCTGTGCTGGCTGAGTTACCACATGGAGAGCGACAATTCCTTGGTTGTGCTTTGACACGAGAAAGCGCGCAAATTCCCCTTCGCAGAATGGAACCGGAAACGGTGTGTTGGTACAGGAGAGACTGGCCTACCTCAGCAAACCGTCCTCCTCTGAGCTACGTGCCACTCACCAGCTAGTCGCTTGGCTTCCTGCACTTGGATGCATCGAGCTAAAAGTAGGTCGTACCTCGCATGCGCAGCCTTGTGGTACCACCACAAGAATGTTCAAAATACCTAAAAAACGCCAAGTTTCGCTTGTCGGAGGTAGTAGCTGTTTACATACACAACACACTAGTGTGAGCTATTTCAGTTGTAGGCCTGGCTGTACTCACATATATACACTGTACATTGTACACAGCCACAATGGAGAGTGGTAGATGTCAGAGGAGATATGTGATTGTTTCTATATACACAAGTACAGGGTCAAAAGCATGAAAGGGCTAGTTCACAATCTGCACTGACTCTCTCTGCTGTCACTGTGGTATTTCTTGCTGGACACACGCTCCAACATGTGAAAGCACTAAACGTCAGCCGACCTTTGGGTCAAATATTGACCCTGCGATACTTGATCCAAAAATCGTATCATAAGAAAATCGTAGCAGATTTGTCAGAATCCTGTGTGACAACGGAGTTCACACCAGGTGATTTTCATCTCCATCTTGACGCATTTTCTCGTATGATTCCATGTCAACCGGGAAATTGTCTTACGTTTCCCGATTTGTACGGTAGCACGGTTGCATTCCCGTTTCTTGCAATCAATTGGACGCCGTCAATCAGCGTCATGAGGGTTCTGTCGCTTCTAAACGCGTCTTCCGACGCGCCCGTCGAATGTGAACAAGTCTTTAGCATCCCCCATGTAACCCCTCATGCAGGCAGGCACAGTGGGTTGGTCTAAGACCATGATTGAGAAACGCGAGGTACCAGGTTCAAGTTCTGCTTGGAAGTGGAAGGATTTTTCCAATCGTGCTGCGACCCACAGTTAATTGGGAACTCTTGGCCTGGCATGAGTAATACATGGATGTGGCAAATGGGATTTAGGCCTTTGGCCTCTGGTTGGTGGATCTGATCTACCCTCCCCACCGTTTAGGAGCCGCATCTGACACCGGATCATGGAGTGGTGGCGTCCCACGGAATCGGAAAGGTGGTTCTTGACCAGGGAGTTGTACGACTCCTTGTTCTTGACCTGCCTGATACGCGAACCCGTCGAATTTATTATTATTTTTATTATGTAACCCCTCATCCTGATATCGGTTAAATAATAAAAATTCATAATGCCCTCTCTGACATACACCACCCTATAATTATACCAATACAACTTTCACATAACCGGATATCCTCTAAAATCCACTCCGATATCCGATCACTGACAGGTATCACACTTTTATGTGAACATATTATATCCTATATGTTATTGTATTATTTACTTGTATAATCATGCGAATGAACTGTTTGTGTGTGTGTGTGTGTGTGTGTGTGTGGTTGTGTGTGTGTGTGTGGGTGTGTGTGTGTGTGTGTGTGTGTCATCTGCAGATGTGGCCAGAAGACTCGGTAAGGCAGCGGCAGCTTTCGACCTTATGCGCCGTGTCTTTCTTGACCGAAACCTTTCCATCGCCACCAAGCGCCATCTTTACGATGTTTGCGTTCTGTCCACATTGCTCTATGCCTGTGAGTGCTGGACTCCGCTGAAGAGAGACATGGTTGCCATCAACAACTTCCACCACCGCTCCCTCAGGTTCATTCTGGGTGTATCCCGGCTCGATCAACAGCTGCAGCATGTCAACAACCAGGAGCTGCGAAGACGCTGGGGTGATATGGCACTGCCATCTGATACCGTCAGACACCGCCGTCTGCAGTGGCTTGGGCATGTCGCCAGAATGCCAGATAACCGGCTTCCGAAGCTGATACTGTTTAGCTTCTTCTCAGATCCACGCCCAGCCTGTGGGCCACGACTGCGATGGAAAGACCTCGTCGCACGTGATCTTCGTTTCGGTGGCATAGTGAATTGGCTCACTTTGGCTCAGGATCGCCCAGCATGGCGCGAGGCAATTGCAAAGACTCCGGATGATCTCGTGGAGTGTAACAACAACAAAGTCACCTGCAAGGTTTGCAACCGATCATTCACTGCTCGTGGGATTCACCGTCACAAGTGCTCAGCTGTACGGTCCTTACCTGTTGCCCAGCAGCCTGGGGCCCGTCACTGTGGAGTTTGTGACCGCTGGTTTCAAAGCGCTGGCGGTTTTGCAGTTCATCGTTGTGTGGAGCGTCAGACATCGGACGAAATACCAGCTGTTTCAACGAGATGCAGCCTGAATTTGGACTGCTGCCAGCACCATTGCTCGATCTGTGATCGCTGCATGAAGAGTCAGGCTGGTTTTAACCGCCATAATTGTACTCGAGGCAAACGACTGCGAAAGGACCAGAGGACTAATCTGCCCATTCAATGCAGCATATGTAACGAACGATTCTCCCGCCCGCAGGACCTCACCCGCCACCGAAGACAGAAACACTAGCTAAGTGTAGAACGGTCCCCTTTCACCTCAATTATTCTCCTTGTTTCTTTTTTCTCGCTGTTGTCTCCCGCTTCTGGGAGCGACGTGGCCATTTTGTGGCAGTTGTACATAGTAGTAGTAGTGTGTGTGTGTGTGTGTGTGTGCGTGTCTGTGCTGGTGTGATAAACTGCAGGTACCTGTTTCTAGTCCCATTGCTGCACAAGACAGCCGCTTAAGTTCAGCTTCTGCCACTACCCCTGCCCCTGACTCCCTGCCACTACCCCTGCCCCTGCCTACAGCAACGACAGTGAGTTGAACGACATAACCTAGATTGTTAAGCTGTGTTCCCAACTGGTGTGTGGACGTGGTACGCTTGTGGTTCATGCGTGCCCAAAGGCGCGCTCAGGCTTTCACAAAAAAACAGCAATATGGATGGATCTAGTCACTGTCTTATTCACAGCAAGGTGATATAGCCGGTAAAATTTACTGGGTTGGCTAATGAGGATGGGGTGACAACTGGTGGCGAAGAAAAAGTCACACTTGCATCATACATGAGTGGTTTGCTATTACTTATTAGGGCTGAGTCGGGAACCATTTTCTTCCGGTTTCGGGTTCGGGTAGTTTTCAACGGGTAGCACGGGTACCCGATCGGGTAATGTTTCCATGGTAACATCACAATGCACCCCTTCCCTTACACACTGGGTAGACATGCGGAGTATTACATGAATTTGTACACTCACGCTGTACATGATGTCATCTGCGACTTCGGGTTTCGGGTACTATTCTATGCCCGTTTACCCGAGGTTCTCACGGGTAGCTCGGGTACCCGATTATCCGTGCACAGCACTAGTTGCTATGCACCCACACACTGTAGGCAATAGCAAAGTCACACTTAGTGGATTCAAACCTAGAAATATAAAGTGAACTTACTACTCACTGGCCGTTTTGACGCTATCACTTTCAAGCCCTATTGTGCAGGGTTTGCCCAAAGTGTACTGAGCTTTTCTGTAACTTGGCTTGAAGGAGATTGATGTACGACGAACTGCTGACGTTGATGTTTTTTGGTGATCGCGTGTACGAATGTTTGAGTGACTGTCTGCATGTGCACACACTCGCATGATGTGTGTTGGTGTGTGTGTGCATGTGTGTGTGTGTGTGTGTGTGTGTGTGTGTGTGTGTGTGATTGTGTATGTGTGTGTGTGTGTGTGTGTGTGTGTGTGTGTGTGTGTGTGTGTGTGTGTGTGTGTGAGTGTGTGTGTGTGTGTGTGTGTGTGTGTGGCACTGTGCTTGAAGGGGACGGTTGCACTTTTTGTAGCATCTTTTTTATCTGAGTTTTCAGTCGTTCCTCTTACTAGTCTCAGGCCACGGGGTGGCTCTGGGTCCACCAGAGTCGCCCCTGGCGTGTTTATGAATTTGCTGAGCCGAGGGTTTCGCGACGCGGTCGCAAGGGTAGTGTCTTTTCTGTCACGACCGTTGTCGTCCTTGTCTCTCCATTCGTGGTGGTGTAGCTGACCCCCGAATGGTTTCAAACTGCGAAGCTCGGAGTACAGTGGTGGCAGAGGCATGAGCTGTGAGTGGAGACGGTTCCTGGAGGCGGATGGTGATGCAGGGAGAAGGGTTACGCTGCCTGACAACGCGTGGGAAATTGTTTGATCCTGCAATTTCATTTCGAGCGCGGTGGACTTCTAGACGATATGTCCTCATGGCTGTTTTTCAATGCTTGGCCTATTGCTGATATCCGTGCATGGGATGTTCTTCCAGTGGAGTCCAGGTGGGACTTCGGGTGCCCACACTCCATCACCTGGTTGATTGTTTCGGAACTGCAATAATACAGGTTCAAATAATTATTGTTTCCTTTTTGTGCGTATTTCTTGTCATCTCTCTTTTTCTAGACGTCGCACACCAGATGTACTACTATCGCTGTCTTTCTCCTGCTATCTCTCTCTGCTTGCTTTTTGTTTTGTTTTTGTTGCCACTGTCCCTCATCATACCCATGCTTGGGTGGAGGGCGGAGTGACCCGTTAGGGTAGCTGTCAATACAGTACAGTACAGTGTGTGTGTATGTGTATGTGTGTGTGTGTGTGTGTGTGTGTGTGTGTGTGTGTGTGTGTGTGTGTTTCCATCAGCTGCAGGTAAGGCCTACCACTGCGCCAGAAAGCCTGTCAAGTTCTGCTTCTGCCATGTCCTCTGCTACAACAGCTACGGTAAGTTGAACAACATTTTTTGTCTGTAATGCCGGTTTCACACTAGGCCAGTTTATCGTCCAATGCTTCGAAACCCGCCTCCGACATGAAATCTGCTGACTGTGTTGGATGAGTCAAACTACCTGTTCACACACTCAACAGTGAGGTATTTCACTTGTAGACCTGACTGTGTTCACACATACAAGTTGTACACAGCCACACTAGAGAGTGGTAGATACCAGAGCGGAGATGTGATAGTTTCTATATACATAAGCTACAGGGTCAAAAGCATGAAAGGGCTCTCTCTCTGCTGTCATGGTGAAATTCCTTGTTGGAGGCCCGCTCCAACATGTGAAAGCACTAAAAGTCAGCCCACCTTTGGGTCAAATATTGACCCTGCGATACTTGGTACAAAAATCGTATGATGAGAAAATCGTAGCAGATTTGTCAGAATCCTGTGTGACAACGGAGTTCACACCATGTGATTTTCACCTCGATCTTGATGCTTTTTCTTCTATGATTCCATGTCAACCGGGAAATTGTCTTACTCTTCCCGATTTGTACGGTAGCACGGTTGCATTCCCGTTTCTGGCAATCATATTGGACGCCGTCAATCAGCGTCATGAGGGTCCTGTCGCTTCTAAAGGCGTGTTCCGACGCGCCCCGTCGAATGTGAAATAATCTTTAGCATCCCCCATGTAACCCCTCATGCAGGAAGGCACAGTGGGTTGGTCTAAGACCATGATTGAGAAACGAGAGGTACCAGGTTCAACTCCTGCTTGAAAGCGGAAGGATTTTTCCAACCGTGCTGCGACCCACAGTTAATTGGGAACTCTTGGCCTGGCATGAGTAAGACATGGATGTGGCAAATGGGATTGAGGTCTTTGGCCTCTGGTTGGTGGATCTGATCTATCCTCCCCCACCGTTTAGGAGCCGCGTCTGACGCCTGATAATGGGATGGTGGCGTCCCACGGAATCGGAAAGGTGGTTCTTGACCAGGGAGTTGTACGACTCCTTGTTCTTGACCTGCCTGGTACGCGAACCCGTCGAATTTTTTATTATTTTTATTATGTAACCCCTCATCCTGATATCGGTTAAATAGTAAAAATTCATAATGCCCTCTCTGACATGCACCACCCTATAATTATACCAATACAACTTTCACATAACCGGGTATCCTCTAGAATCCACTCCGATATCCGGTCACTGTCGGGTATCAAACTTTTAAGTGTACATATTGTATCCAGCATGTTATTGTGTTATTTACTAGTATAATCATGCGAATGAACTGTTTGTGTGTGTGTGTGTGTGTGTGTGTGTGTGTGTGTGTGTGTGTGTGGGTGGGTGGGTGTCTGTGTGTCTGTGTGTCTGTGCCGGTGTGATAAACTGCAGGTACCTGTTTCTAGTCCCATTGCTGCACAAGACAGCTGCTCAAGTTCAGCTTCTGCCACTGCCCCTGCCCCTGCCTCTCCTACAGCAACGAGAGTAAGTTGTACGACATAACCTAAATTGTAAAGCTGTGTTCACAACTGGTGCGTGGACGTGGTACGCTTGTGGTTCATGCGTGCCCAAAGGTGCGCTCAGGCTTTCACAAAAAAACAGCAATATGGATAGATCTTAGCACATTTCAAGCAGTCTTACTCACAGCAAGGTGATATAGCCGGTAAAATTTACTGGGTTGGCTGATGAGGATGGGGTGACAACTGGTGGCGAAGAAAAAGTCACACCTGCATAAGACATGAGTGGGTTGCTATTAGGGCTGAGTCGGGTACAATTTTCTTCCGGTATCGGGTTCGGGTAATTTTCAACGGGTAGCACGGGTACCCGATCGGGTAATGTTTCCATGGTAACACCACAATGCACCCCTTCCCGTACACACTGGGTAGACATGCGGAGTGTTACATGAATTTGTACACTTACGCTTTACATGATGTCATCTGCGACTTCGGGTTTCGGGTACTATTCTATGCCCGTTTACCCGAGGTCCTCACTGGTAGCTCGGGTACCCGACTATCCGTGCACAGCACTAGTTGCTATGCACCCACACACTGTAGGCAATAGCAAAGTCACACTTAGAGGATTTAAACCTAGAAATATAACGTAAACTTACTACTCCCTGGCCGTTTTGACGCTATCACTTTCAAGCCCTATTGCGCCGGGCTAGCTCATAGTGTACTGAGCTTTTCTGAAATTTGGCTTGAAGGAGATTGATGTACGACCAACTGCTGAGGTTGATGTTTTTTGGTGATCGCGTGTATGAATGTTTGAGTTACTGTCTGCATGTGCACACACTCGCATGATGGGTGTTGGTGTGTGTGTGTTGGTGTGTGTGTGTGTGTGTGTGTGTTGGTGTGTGTGTGTGTGTGTGTGTGTGTGTGTGTGTGTGTGTGTGTGTGTGTGTGTGTGTGTGTGTGTGTGTGTGTGTGTGTGCAACTGTGCTTGAAGGGGACGGTTGCACTTTTTGTAGTCCCGTTTTATCTGAGTTTTTCAGTCGTTCCTCTTACTAGTCTTAGGCCACGGGGTGGCTCTGGGTCCACCAGAGTCGCCCCTGATGTGTTTCTGAATTTGCGGGGCCGAGGGTTCCGCGACGCGGTCGCCAGGGCAGTGTCTTTTCTGTCACGACCGTTGTCGTCCTCGTCTCTTCATTCGCGGCCGTGTATCTGATCCCCGAATGGTTTCAAACTGCGAAGCTCGGAGTGCAGTGGTGGCAGTCGCATAAGCTGTGAGTAGAGACGGTTGCTGGAGATGGATAGTGATGCAGGGAGAAGAGGTACGCTGCCTGACGACGCGTGGGAAATTGTTTGATCTTGCAATTTCAGTTCTAGACGATGTGTCCTCATGGCTGTTTCTCGATGCTTGGCCTATCGCTGATATCCCTGCGTGGGATGTTCTTCCAGTGGAGTCCAGGTGGGACTTCGGGTGCCCACACTACATCACCTGGTTGATTGTTTCGGAACTGCAATAATACAGGTTCAAATAATTATTGTTTCCTTTTTGTGCGTATTTCTTGTCATTTCTTCAGAATTCCCAAACTCCATTGCAGCGCATTCCTTGCACTCGAAAACACCGCCATTCCGGCAACAGGCTCTCAACAGGCTCTCAACAGAGCCTGTTGCCGGAATGG